GTATTTATTTATTTATAAAAAAAAAAAAGAATCTTAAAGCACAAAATATGCTTACCATCCATATCCATTTACTCAAATAGCAGCCTTGCTAAATCAACAGCCTTTTTTTTTCCCCCAGTTAGATGCTAAATCAACAACTATGATATTAACAATAGAGTAAGATCCTCTAACTATGGAAAACGTAATTGAATGTTAAAATCAAGTGATAGAGGCAAACATGGGCATGTTTGGTTCACGAAATGAACTTCTTAGGAATGATACTCCTATGTCTAATTCCATGAGATAGAAATAGAAGATGTTCAATGCTGGGAAATGAAGACCCAGAAATGCCAGTCTCTCATGCTAAAATATTTGGGGAATTTTATTCTTCTTATATAGGAGTACATAGGGTTTACATGTAAGAAATAAGGAAAGTACTAAAATCCTGATTGTACAATGAATAACCAACTATACAAACTATGAAGTAAATCTCCTAAACTGACTCATTTAACATTCCTTCTCAAGTTGGCGCATGGATATCATTAATGCCCAACTTGTTAAGTGAGCTATGAAAAACTCGGCTTGACATGGTTTTAGTTAAGATATCTACCAACTAATCTAGATCTTCATACGGTAAGTGAATCCTGTCCTCCAACTTCTCTTTGATAAAATATTCATCTACTTCAACATGTTTAGTTCAATCATGTTGAACTGGATTATGAGCAATGCCGATGACCACTTTATTATCACAATATAACTACATGGGTTTATTAGGCTGAAAGCCCAACTTCATCAACACATTTCTGATTCACAATAATTCACAACTACCTTGTGACATACCCTATTCAACTTCAGCACTCAATTTGGCAACACACCTTGTTTCTCGCTACGCCAAATAATAAGGTTACCTCATACGACAGTGAAGTATCTAATGTAGACCATCTATCGGACAATTATTTTGATGCACCAAATGTTGGAACTGGGGATCAGCCTCTTCTTTATAAGTTTTTCATTGTTTCGTAAAAACAAAAAGAAAGAAGCGATGGTCTGAAAATGGGAAAAGTTGAAAACCTTAACCAACCAAGAGTAGAGTTTCTGCAAAATGGCAGTCCCAAGTTCTTGGAACTTAATGAACGTTTGGAAAATAAAAACGATAAGCCATTTTATTATTTGGTCATATAGTCATAGTCCGATCAAGAAAAGAGACGTATTTATATGAATTTTGGGCATTTGTCAATGTCACAGTTGGATAACTTAGCATGCAAGATAAGCAATTTGAGTCAGCTAAGGCAGTTTCATGCGCAGCTCATTCAAAATTCTCTCCACCACCATAGCCAATGGGTGTCACTGCTCATCTCCCAATGCACACGCCTCCGTGCGCCGCTGCCCTATACCCGTCTCATCTTCGATTCCACACCTCGCCCCGATATCCATGTCTTCATCTCTATGCTCAAATATTACTCCAATTTGGGCAGTGCCCATTTTAATCAAGTTGCTTCTCTGTATCAAAAGCTGCAGTGTTGTGACTTAAGGATCGGTACCTTCGTGTACCCTGTCTTGATCAAATCTGCCGGCAGTAAAGGAATTGAGTTCCATGCCCATGTCCTGAAATTGGGTCTTGCTTCTGATCCCTACATTCGCAATGCCATCATGGGTTTGTATGCAAAATATGGCCCGGTTGAGAACGCCAGAGATGTGTTTGCTGAAATGCATGAGAGAACTCTTGCAGATTGGAATAATATGATTTTTGGGTACTGGAACTGGGGGAATAAAGCTGAAGCGTGCAGACTCTTTGATATGATGCCTGAGAGGAATGTTGTCACTTGGACTGCTATGGTTACTGGGTATGCTAAGATGAAGGATTTGGAGAATGCAAGAAGGTATTTTGATGAAATTCCAGAGAAAAATGTTGTATCCTGGAATGCAATGCTCTCCGCTTATGCTCAGAACGGATTTCCAGAGGAGGCTTTAAAATTGTTTGATGATATGATGAACTCCAGGGATCAACCAAATGAAACTACTTGGGCAATTGTCATTTCAGCATGTTCGTCATGTGGTCATTGCTCCCTTGCTGATTCATTTGTTCAAAAGCTCAACCAGAAGCGGATACATTTAAGTTATTTTGCCAAGACAGCGCTGCTTGATATGTATGCAAAGCGTGGGAGCCTCCAGGCTGCTAGACAAGTTTTTGATGAATTGGGGGTGTCTAGGAACACTGTTACCTGGAATGCCATGATATCAGCATATACAAGGGTTGGGGATTTGGCTTCAGCTAGAGAGCTCTTTGATAAGATGCCAGAAAGGGATGTTGTCACATGGAACTCGATGATTTCTGGTTATGCTCAAAATGGGCAGTCAGCTCTTGCAATTGATCTCTTTAAAGATATGATTACTGCTGCTGATGATCCCAAACCAGATGAGGTAACTATGGTGAGTGTCATCTCCGCGTGTGGACATCTTGGAGCCTTAGACATAGGAAATTGGGTTATCAGTATTGTCAGAAAAAATCATATTAAGCTAAGTATATCAGGATACAATTCTTTGATATTCTTGTACTCCAAGTGTGGAAGCATGGATGATGCCAAGAGGACATTCCAAGAAATGACAACAAGAGATGTGGTTTCCTACAACACATTGATTGCAGGGTTTGCAGCTCATGGTCATGGAATGGAAGCTGTCAAACTACTGTCGAAGATGAAAGGAGAATTTGTTGAACCGGACCGTGTAACATATATTGTTATTCTTACGGCATGTAGCCATGCAGGGATGTTAGAAGAAGGTTGGAAGGTTTTTGAGTCAATCAAAGCTCCTGATGCCGATCATTATGCCTGTGTGATTGATTTGTTAGGTCGAGTGGGTAAACTAGATGAAGCAAAAAAAATTATCGATGACATGCCGAAGGAGCCACATGCTGGGGTTTATGGGTGTCTTTTAAATGCTAGCCGAATTCACAAAAGAATCGATCTTGGGGAGTTTGCTGCAAGCACGCTCTTTGAGCTTGAACCACATAATTCAGGAAACTACATTTTACTTTCAAACATATATGCCTCAGCAGGCAGGTGGGATGATGTGGTGAGAGTTAGAGAATTAATGAGAAAAGTAGGGGTGAAGAAGGCAACTGGGTGGAGTTGGGTTGAATACAAAGGTAAGTTGCACAAGTTCATTGTGGGAGACAGATCACATGAGCGGTCAGACGATGTTTATAGGCTATTGGCGGAATTAGGGAGGAAAATGCGAAATTCTGGGTACATGGCTGATAAGACCTGTGTGCTAAGAGATGTTGAGGAGGAGGAGAAAGAAGAGATGGTGGGTACTCACAGTGAAAAATTAGCAGTTTGCTTCGCTCTTCTGGTTACTGATGCAGAGGCAGTGATTAGGGTTGTGAAGAATCTGAGGGTGTGCTGGGATTGCCATACAGCTATGAAGATGATATCTAACTTGGAGGGAAGGAAAATTATTTTGAGGGATAATAACAGGTTTCACTGCTTTAGTGATGGGATATGTTCTTGCGGAGACTATTGGTAACCTATACCAATAAACTTGCCATTTTCATGCTAATGAGGACACACCTTATGGCTTAGTGATGCTCTTGCAACATCAAGTAACAACAGCTTACAAGGTGTTATTTAGATGGATCCATTTATTTGTTCGTTTAGTCTTTTTTTTTTTTTTTTTCCTTCTTCTTCTTCTTCTAAGAGGAATTGCAAATGAAAGATGACATCAAGGTGCAAATTAATGACTGAATTCTTAACTCTTGTTGAAGGTTAAGTGAATATATGTTGAAGAAGGAAGGTATCCGTGAGGTTGTAGCTCACATATGACTAGAGGACGAGCTTATGTTTGGCTCAGGTAGCAATGCCGCATCAACCTCGTCTTCACTTCCAGGGAATCAAGATGTCGGGTTGAGAAGAAGCTTGATCGGGGACTTGTTTAAACACCAGGTAGTAGAAATACTATAGTAAATTCCTCCACTTTCATATTAGAACCCAAGGGCAAAGTAAGAATTTACTATAGAATATTAGCTGATTTTAATGATTTGAAATATATATTTTTTTCCTGTCACACCGTATATATTCAGACTTTTGAATTTTCAGTCTACTTTTGGTGCCGCCTTCTATCTTTCGGTTAGCCCTAGAGGCAAGAGCACAATAAGAACCTCACAAAATTTCTAGTCTGACAATATAAATATTTGTCTGATAAGATAACATTAGCGGTGAAAATAGTATTCCTTGCCTGTTAATATAATAGTGTGATGATTAGAAATATGGTTTAAACATGACTTTAATTACACAAAGCACATGAAAGTGCACCAAGAGACAACTTCAAGCCAGAAATTATCAATAAAAAAATTGTACAAATCTGGAGAAATTCATGAAAATCTAAGACCTCGTTTCCCATCAAGATAAAAGACTCCAACCATATATAGGATCTGGCTTCTCCTAGTTGATTGAACATCTTCTGCAAAAGCTCGTTTTAAGGTCCTCATTTCATTGGCATCACCCTCTCGCTCTATTGACTTGTCAAATCGGTGACACTTGAGAGATTGACTTATTCCAAAGTATACCTGCATTGGATTTTACAGAAATTTTTTTTTTTTGGTTGTGGATTTCTAATTCGGATAATTACCAATTTAACACCAGAATATATGACATTGTCCCTTTTTGTTCCTTAAAATGGGGCGAGGCAACATGGAAAATTTGGAAATTCTTGTATAAAGACATAAGATTCATATATGTAACCACTTGTGACTCGTGACTTGCCGTTTTTGCAGTAAGTCATGACTCTTTGACAAAGAGTCTTTGTGCGCCTATAGAGGTGCCACACCGATGCATTAAAAGGAATCAGTTGTCTTCTTTCTAGGTTACACAAGTCTTTTCAGAGATTATGAAATTTAAATCTCACAACAAATATTTCTATTTGTGACATTTGAGTAATTGTGCTTAATTAGGACAAAAAGATTAGGCTGAGGTTGGGGAGAGTAGAGGAAGCATTCGTTTCTATAGGTACAAAAAATTTACAAATAGTGTACCCAGAAAAGATATACTGATTAAACACTTCAAAATAATAGAGGATAGAAAAAAAAATTCTTCTTAAAACTTCAGTTTTGTTTTTATATATTTATGAAACTCTAGCACACTCTAACCATCCTTCGAGAGATTCAGCTTGGTGTCTCAATTTCTGAATCTTCGAGCTCAAGTATAGCATTGAATCCAAATTCAGTTCCTGGTTTAAACAAGAGTTTGAGTTCTTCTGCTGTTTGAGTAGTGTTGATTTTGTTTTCCTTCACATTCAAGTTTTCCTGAAATTGATGAGAGATTTTAGAACGTTGCCTGAGTTTTATAAGAAAGACAACGTAGTGAATGGTGACCAGGACTTGCCTTCTTTACATAATCACCCATGGTAGAGCTTATTATTTCTTGTATGACAAACTTTGTGACACGCTCCTTACCAAGTATATCCAAGAGAAAGCTTTTTGGGACCTGAGGGAAGTTTTAGGTTAGCCATCAAAGAACAATGCTAAAGACTAAAGCATATGAACGAGGGATCCTATGAACTTCAAAATGGTTTCAAAACATAAATTGGCACCCCAGAAATTTAATTTCACAAGCGTGAACAAATGGATGCACCAATCAAATGAAGGTACTTCTAATACTTTCAAATATCCAAGTTCATAAAAGACCTGACAACGTATCAACCAAAAGACACCTAGCAAATTAAGTTCATTGAAGTTTTGTAATTGATGTCGTTATGGAAAGCCAGTGGTGTGTGAATAGTATAACATGAAAATGTGGTCATGCTATATCTAAATGTGTAACTTATGAACCAATATCTGAGCCATATTACAATGTGGTTACATCAAAATCTGCAAAATTTGTAACAAGAATCTTATTAAATGTTGATTAGATAGAGCTAGTTAAATTATGCGGGGCTTGCATCGACTAGTGAAATTCAATCATAAATTCTGATCACAAAAAAATAAATAAGTATAAGAATAAAACCACTCACCTTTGATGTTTTTCCTGGAGTAGTCCCAAAGCACATGAAAAGGAAAATTTATAGTTAAAACTTACGGACTCACAATTCAAAAGTTACTAAGCATTTATAAATCAAAAGAAGAAAGGATAGATGCTATCGGCTTAGAATTCCCACATCCATGCACTCTAATGCAGCATATTCAATAAATGGCTGAGTTAACCTTTGCATATATGGATACACAATCCTAAGCATATCAAAATTGAAAATAACAGGTCCCTTTTCCGAAACTGAAATGATACAAAATAAACTAAAAAGAAATTTTCTTTTGACTGCAAGATTTAAAAGGTCATCCAAAGTTGACCTCTACCTTATATTTTTGCAGTATATTCCAGACATCAGGTAAGAAGGTTTGTATTAATTCCAACAAAAGCAGGGGTACATCAATGTATTACCTCCTTTTTGTCTGCGAAATCCGGGAACTGGTGGTGCTGTGCGTGCCAAGTTTGTCAAAACCTTATCAAAAACTTTTTCTGTGTCATCCCCAGTCAAGTCTACTCTAACCTGGCAATGGAACAAAACAAGCACTTGCAATATAAGGTCCCAAACCCTTAGACACAGAAAACGCAAAAACATATACAACCAAAACCAGGCAATTAAATTGCTATACACTTTTTCATGAAAATGAGAACAATTTATCTGCAGCCTTTAACTCTAACAAAATGTTCCCAAAGCTTGATTCAATCAAACTATCTGGATATTTTGAATACTATTCGTTTTCCTATACCATCATAAACGTGCCTAGGAATACTTGAATCCTTCATTCACCTGCATGCATAAACTACTATGAATTATCACAAGAATAACATGTCACTTAAAATGCATGTGTGTTCTAACTGTGTTTCGATTAGATCTTGCATTGCAAGCTCACTTGTATCTTATTATCTTCTTGGGACTCTACAACAATCTTGGCGGATTTCAATGTTATGAGATTGCCTTCTACATCTGCAATAGATGCCTCTAAACCTGCAAAACCAAAATGAAAAATATATAATTCAAATTACAAACATCAGAAAACATGAACAAACAGAAAGAGAGTAAACTGAAAAGGCTTGTAATAATAGTCAATTATCTGAAAACAACCAACCTGAACCAGCTGCACATATCAGCCTGGATAAACGAGCATGACCCGTCTTATGCGGACTACAAAAGAATAATAACCTCAAAAGATTGAAAATGTTGGTTTGACGCAATTTCTTATTATGTTGCCACTGAAACTGTAAGCTATCTCATATATAATGCAATAAGCTATGCAATGCAGATACGTGAAAGGTAAGCGAAAAGTAGAAAAAGAAAAAACTTCTGAGATATGCAATTTACCTCGTAAACAGCTTGCGTTGTGTGTTGCAGAACCCAACAATCCTTGTAGCGTTTTGACATGTAAGAGCACGACTGCAGTAGCTTCTAACAGGGAACTGCTGCAGCAAACTAATAAACCATCAAAAACCTTCTCTCACATATTTTTGCCTGATTATTATTCAGAGCAGTAGATATGACAACCATAAAAATGGTGCACACAACATGTATGATGAAATGCGTCAAAGGTACGTCTGCTACTAGTACTACGTACCACTCTAATTGTCCAATTACTAGAGAAACGCTTTACTGAAGAAACACAGAAATTGGGTGAAGTTGAGAGTTTCTTTTCTTACTTTGGGAAGCCCAAGGGACTGGAAATGAGAGGGTACTACTGTTGTCATCGTCGTCGTCAATGACGCCACGCTGCTATGCTATTGCTGCTGCTGCTGTTATAGCTTGTAAAAGAGATGCAAGAAAAGTGTTGTTCCAGATACAGGAATATCTTATCACTCTCAATCAACGCAGCTTTACCTAGCCTTTTAATCATGGCCGTTAGAAAAACACAAAACAACAGATAACAAATTTTAAAAAAAATTAAAAAGAAAAGAAGAAGAGCATACCCTCTACATCTCCACCACCAAGGACCCACTAGCCACCACACTAGAAGGACTTGTATATCATGTATATAATATTATTTTGTTATTCTCAATTAATCACGTGCCACCATATGAAACAATTATCATGCACGACAAAATGTAATTAGTTGGGAATAGCAAAATAATGTTATCCCCGTAATATATAAGTTTTTCTCCCACCACACACCTATAATGGTCGCGTACTTTATTGGCAGTTGAAAATGAATAAATAAGGCTAGGGACGGTGTGGTGGGTCTTAGTTTTCCTCCCTTTTTTCTTTAGATGTCTTTTATACAAAAATAAATAAATATTGAAAATCAAGGTAACATGGGAAGTTGATTGGCAAAAAATATCCGATTGGATTTCCTTGAGATGTATTTGGATTCAAATAAAGGCACCCACGGAGGCACTAATTAAATTGTGGCTAATTAATAATAGAAAGTACAAAACAGCCAGTTTTGGAGCGGAGTAGTAACTGAAAACATAATCATATTATGCCGTGTACTAATATATTAAAAAAGATCCGTATAGCACGTTATTGTTCTAACACTGGTAAGAATTACTGCCTCTGAAATTCTACAAAACCAGAAAGGTATATTAAATCGTAAAAGACGGATAGAAGAATTTTTAATATCAGACAAGCTCCAACTGAGAAATAAATATTAAAAACAAAAGAAAATCGCTCTCATTTTGGTCGCCCCGTCTGTCTCCCTCTCTTTGTAACTCTTTCGTCAACATACATTTTTCTCTTCAATTCAGCAGCCTAGAAATGAAATGAGCCCGTCTCTCATTCCTCAGAGAGTGAAGAGCAGAGCATGCATCCATGCTTGGCCTTTACTTGCTCAAGAGTAAGAACTGCTGCACAACCACAGATTACTTTTCCAGCTACATTCCAGAACCTGAAGATCATTCCCATGCTGCGATGAGTGATCAACTAAAGCCTCAAGTCTTGACACAGCAATTCCTAGTCAACATGATAAAACTGTTGGCATATCCAATTCTCCCCCCAACTTTGGTACCTTATAATCAAACCAAAATCTTCCAGTACAACATCTCTCAGTGAAACTTACCAGAAACCATTCTTTGCATGGACAATTACTCCACGACTGCACCAACAACTTGCTCAATATCTGTGCTTTCTTATAGAAGATGATATTGTAGTATTAATACTAAGGACAACAAGAACATCAGAAAACAGCAAAAACAACGAAAAACTATAGCCTCCAAACAGTAAGTAACAATGCATAAACACATGAATAAATGATTCAGAATCAAACCAGGAAACTACAAGGCATATTTATAACTGACTATTCATATTAGAAACAAATTCCTGAGAAAATTAGACAGAACAAGAACAAAGAGTAGCAAAACTTAGAATCCCATTTGCAATCATTCAAATTCATTAACTAAGATAGACAACTGACTCTGTTTTACTCCAAATTGTAATGATAGTTGTAAACCCTCATCTGCTTTCTTTGAATGGTTTTGTTCTGCAAATTCAGACTAGATTTAAACTCTAGCCCTTTTGCTACTGCAACCTGGGCACTTGTACTGCTTGATATGCTCAGCCTTTGCGGGTGTAATCTTTACACATTTTCCATGGAACCATCTCTCACACACATCACAGCAAATCCAGAACTCATCAGCACCATAGTTGTCTCCACATGCCCCGCAAGTCGCACCTTGTTCATCATCTTCTTCTTCTTCTTCCCCGCTTTCCTCCTCTTCTTTGGGCAGCGGAGACATCTTTACTCCTTTGCTTTGGGGGAGCTCAGACTGCCGAGACTGCTTTAAGGCAGCACCAAAATAAGCAAGAGCTAGGATTAACTACAGGGGAAAAAAAGGCTAAAGAAGGAAGACATATAAACAACAAACAAAATCATGCAAACTAACCCACTTACCACCTTTCCACTAGATTTGTTCTTGCTACTGTTGTTGTGAGGAGCAGACTGGTCTTTTGGTTGCTTAGCATTTCCTGTCACAACTTCAAATATGGTGGGGAGATCATTTATCATCTGAAAAAGCCTTTTCCTGCAAGTTCCAAAGCCAAATAAAATTAGAACCACCTTGATATGCTAATATACATTTAATTTGAGGGAGATGTTAGCTCCTATCACTTGGCTTTTGTAGCAAGGGTTATGTTTCCATATCCTACAGCATGAATGACTCTACAATGACATTTGCAATCATCAACAACAAAGAAATCCACTGGTCCAACATCGTAGAAATTATATACAACCAACAATATAATACTAAACGGAAATTTTTTTATCGGTCACAGAAGTTTGCATATCGACTTTAATCAAAATTCAATTCATCTGCACTCAGATCCCACACCATTTATCCAAAATTTGTACACAACTTATCTATGATAGCCAAAAATGAAATAAATAGGATAGCAGAAGACGGAAGAATATCATTATATTAATTATATAAGCCCTTGCTCCCCTGCACATACAGTCATACATACATTATATATACACATACAAACACACGAATGTTGTATATGTTTATGAACCCAGATATTGGAGTAAAACCATTGTAATTGAACAAGTCAAAAAAGCTCATGTTTACTTTACAAACTCATCCGTTTACTTTTTTATAGCCAAGTAATGAAAAGTCTAAAAAGGTGGGGCTCAGAATAGGTCAAGGCAAATTGAATCCTAGCAACCAATTTTCAATATTTTGAGAATTTAAATCTGTTCTCAACAGAAGAAAATACAACACCTATCATGTACAGATAAGATTCTCAATTCTTCTATCAATGTTATGGCATGTCAGTATTATTGTCTAATGCAAGTAGCCATTAACATGAGCTACTTAGATATGAGTAAAAGACAGCCTTGTAATTTACCAAAAGGAAAATGATAGAAGCCCTCGGAAATGAAAGGGCACTAAGACTTATTCCAAGTGGTTGTTGCAGAGTGACAGAAGGCTTGTTTGAAAATTTAATTTAATCAACTGTAAAATACCTTTTAGCATCCTGAATCTAAAGGGGCAAAAGAGGTAGGCAGCTTTCTACTAGAACATAATGTTGCACCTAATACATACAGCATCAGAAACTTAATTGTGGCTAGGAAAACACTCACATAACCTATCTAGATCATGCAAAAAGTTTATCAAGTACGGAGTTCGGGAAAATGGAAACTACGAAGTGGGATATCGATTATCTTAAGCAAAACATAAATTTTCTTGTCAATCAGTCGTTGAATCCTAGAGAAGGAACCAATTAATGCTCAATCAGGAGCCAATTGAGGATTAAGGTTCAAAGAAGCCACTGCTTGAATTTGAGTCCCCCCAATACCCCCACCACTTATAGAGTCACTTTTCAAATGTGTCTTCTTTACCCCTGCTAATAGAACCCTGGATACTGTTACTCATTCTATCCTTGACTCATGCTGACGAGTCTGTCAATACCTGTAACATTCGTAATACAGTAGGCCATGTCCTACATATCACTAAAGTATATGCAGAAATCTCATATTCAGTATTTTTTCTATGTGTAACAAAGAGTAATCGCAAAACATATAATATGAAAGGGACCTCCAATTTCAGCTCCATGCAAGAATATCAGTCATTAACACTACCATACCAAGCATTAGTTGATTCTTTAAATGCTAGGATGTAAAGGTTATGTCAATTTTTGTAATATATACGCCATAAAGATAGCAAACAAATTTAAAACAAAAAAAGAAACATTTTCATCAGAATTTAGTCTAGAAAAAAGGAGGGAGGTTTTAAACTAGGTTTCAGTAAGTAGTAGATGCATTGAATTTGTGAATTAGTTCTAAAGAGAACTTCTAAATCTTCTGTACTTTAACCGCCCACGTATGATGCCATATTTGGTTCACATAAATATCTTATTCAAACGTGATATGTAAACCGCTTATCACATCATATGCAAGGTAAATATCAATAATAAGATGCCACTAAATGCATGAACTTATGCACTGAAAAAGGTGCATAGGATTCAGCTGATAATAAGATTTGTCAACAGAAAGTGTTGGCTCAATGCTTCATATGGCAGGTAACTCTTTTCTCTACTGCATTTGAAAATTCTATCATTAAAAGTTGCAGATATGGAGATTTTTTATATAAAAAAAACCTTGCAATAATTTGGGTTCTAACAACTGTATTAAAGTAGGAGCACAGTTCTGAAAGAAATAAAAGTCAATATACCAAATCATGCTTTTCCTCCATGTTATAGGGTAACCTCTGTTAAATCTCAACATGTTTGCATAAGAATAGCTAAGGATGACTAATAGATTCGATATTTGGTGCAACAGAGAATTTTGCATATGATAAAGAAAGTATCGGGCTACAATAAGATTAACACCAAGAATACGCCAACATTAAAATTCATCAAGATAGCTTGTGCATTTCCCAATTGATAATAGAAGATACATGCAGAAGAAAAACTATTTCGTACCTTTCATTCTTACCAAACCCAAATCGTGCACCAAAGTAAAATGCAACTGCAAGCAACCATGAATCGCTATGAACTGCAACCAGTGATAGCCAGTCCTTCTCCTGCATCCCATCCCTAGCAAAGTTTATGCCTAATGCTGGCTCGGGAAGCTCAGGAGGCACCTCCTCAACAGGCAGGTTAACTTCCCATGCCTCATTTGGCAGTCCATAGAGACACAGATTCTCCTTCTCTACAAACAGAACATTTGTTACAAGAAGAGCAAAAATAGAGACACAGATTCTCCTTCTCTACAAACAGAACATTTGTGTCAAGAAGAGCAAACAAAAAAAAACAAAAAAAAAAAAAACACTATCATAACCACATAAAGATATTGAAATTACGTCAAAGTAGCACTTAAGATGCTTAAGCACATTGTACGGCGACTAAACATCAATCAAGTACTATTA